ATCAGAGTTGCTTTCTGTTTTATTATATTTAAATACTAAATATTATGAGAAATTTGCTCTTTGAGAAGCAATGTAGCAAAAAGCTTACAAAGCTTTTTAAAGCTTACAAACCTTTTCAGGCTACTGGTGTTTGGTGCATTATGACTGTCATTTTACTCTCTAGCAATTAGCATAGGTTAATGGATTTATGAACAAATTGGTAAATAATGATGTGTTGTCTTTTTCTGCTATAGTTGTAGCCATCATCCTTCTGCTATTTTATCTTGTCTGTGCTAATACCTGTAACAAGTTTTTGTACCATCAACTAAGTCTGTGGGTGAAACAAGTATAGAGCAGAATAATTCATTGCCTTGACCACAAGACCAAGTGTTTTATTTTTTCTGCACTTCTAGCTGTCAGTCATTCTATGTTTTTTGGCATAGCAAGGAGTAGTGAAACTTTACAGACGAACAGTCACCTTTGATTCAGGCCCTGATATCTACCCCCAGAAGGCTTTTAAAGAGATTACACTGACGGGATTCATTTACATGTGAAAAAGAGAGACCTCATAATATTATCATATCCTGTAAGTTCAAAGGATTCAAGTGAGATGGGGAAGAAGGAGCGGATACTTGAATCTCCATTTTCCATAAATTTTCCATAAATATTCTTCTTACCATAGTGTCTGACACCTTACAGACATGACTTCTTTTTTCAGTTTCTCTTGAACTCTGAAGATGAAATCTTGACATGTTTTGCATGAGGGGAAAATTGTTTCCTATGTGTCTGTAGTATTAGAGTGCCCTAATCATCAGCCCTTCTCCTATCCTGAGCTATTCCATGAGCAGATAGAAGCAGGGATAACATCCTTTTGTTAACCCAGTTAGGTAATAACTGTACTTGTTTACCAGGTGCTGAAATCCATCACTACAGAGGACGTGCACATAATTTTAGGCATGTCCTCTGGGGAAGACAGTAGGAATTATGGATTAGTTGGAAATACTATCGAGTACTGATTTTTTTTTCAGATCCTAAGAGTTTTACTTCATGCTTTGTGAAAGCAAGTTGTGTAGAGAGCCATTTCAGGGGAGGTCTATGCCTATTTTTAGTAAAATTCCAAAAAAGGGAAGCAAAAAAGAAAGACAGAGGCTCTGAACATATCTGCTCTCACAAATACACCATTGGGGAAAGGAATAGCACAACCAAATGTCCCACAGCTCACAGCCTGTATGGGATCTTTCCCTTTTTTAGTTTATGTCCCCCCCACTCAAACACAAGGTCTCTAAGAGGCAAACCTGCCTATAAAGTTATGTAAATACCAGCCCTTTAATGTTTATGTTAAGTTGTTTCTAGAAGGCAGATTCATTTAAGGGGGGAATATTAGTCCTTTTTCTTCCAGGCTGGTTTTCAGTGTCAGCCTATTTCAATGTAAATATCAAAAGAGAGACGAACCGTCTTTAAAAAAAAAAATGCAGCAGAAGCAGACTTGAACTAACATTTCCAAGAAACTCAAATATTTTAATGAAAACAGTCATTTGACCTTGTGAACTTTTGGTAATTTTATTAGATTTTTTCACTGTCTCCAGCAGCTTTTGAAACAAAAGTTGCATTTCAAAAAGATGCGTAAGATGAGCTGGTATTCTCAAGGAAGATCTACAAACAGTGGAGTAAACACTATTAGCCAAAGAAGATGGCTTCACAGAGCCAGAGACCTGTCCTTGTACTCATCCCCTTCCACCCCATCCCTGCCTTTCATTTCTGCTCAGGGCTATTTGTGTCTACAAAACAGGATATTCAGCCAGACCTTCCAGCAAGCCTGCATGGTTTGATGAAGTCCAGTGACAGTCTGTATATCCTCAGTTAAGTGAATATAGTGTCCTGGTGGGTAAAAACTAAAATTTAAACAAAAAAAATTTATTTACTTATAAAAGGAAGTACCCTAGCTGAATGAAATGATGCGTTCATGATCTCTGCTTTGCTGCCGTGGTTATTCCAGGGCTAGGAGGTTTACCATGAATTTACTCCACTTACAGGGTAAATGAATCTAGTGGTTCATTATACATCCTAGCATGTATAGAATCATTGTTCTTGTTAATGTGATGAATTGAATGTCACTGACTGTAGTTGTGAATGAACAAATTATGCAGTTGGGATCCCTTCCGTGATGAACTGGGTGGTTGATAATAGGCAGAGAAAAGTGAGAGGGGTATCTGAGTATATAGATGTCCATTTTGTGCAGCTATTGTGCAAAGGAAGAGAATCACATTGTCAGCAAGGAGGAAAAAAGCTTTAGAGACATTAAAGAATCAGTGTGAAACATGAACATTTGGAGAGTGTGATGACTCCACCAGCACTTTGCTTGTTAACTGAGGTACTGCAACAAATATGCAATGTAGGCCAAGAGCTGAGTGAAAATCATACTGGATTCAGGAAGTTGGTTTTCGTCCTATTTGTCTGCAGTGACATTTCTGAAAAATAGCAACAAAAACTCTGCAACCCAAAATGGCACTTCACAAATTGTGCTTTTTCCTTCATCGTTGCTGCTCTTTGTTCATATCAAGCTTAATGTAGTGTGGAGGCAAACAAATTTGTGTCATTGTAGTTTGTATTGCAAGCCATTGCAGCTCTGAGGAGAGACCCAACAGCTACTTCATTCTCAATTTAGAGAAAAGCAGAGAGTCTGCTTTTCTCTAAATATAGCACACGCAAAACCAAAAATGTTTACACATTTTTAAATGATATAACTGAGTTAATTTACATGGGATTGTGCATCTAATGAGTAACTAATGCATTATTTGCATTAATAGGAATGTTTAAAAGCAGATGGTAGACTCTACAGCTCTTCCAGCTGGCACCTCAAAATAAAAGTAGTTTCATCCATGGAATATGGCTGCAACCTGAAATAAGAGTTTTAGCTCAGGGTGTGACCGTGCAATGACAAAGAGGAAAGCTGCTCTGAAAACACTGCTTATCGCTTTTGCTCATACAGCTTTGGCAGGAAAGAGGATGTGGAAATGTATTTGCTGTCACTTACTACAGCAGTCAGGGTACATGTCACTCTGCTGGTGGTCCAAAGAGTAGTGGGTCCCTTTAATCACAGTTGTGCTCCTTGAAGGCCTCAATTTAAAAAGCATGAAGTCCACATGGAAGATGCAGCAGGACAGATAGACAGCTCATGCCCTGGAGGTCCAGTTACACCAGGATAAACACCTCACAAGTTCTCATCTTATCCTTTAACCGGTTCTGTTGAGCTGACAGTCATCGAAGAAAGGCTTCCTTGGCAAATATGCAACTATTCTTTTCTGACTCAGCCATAAGTACTGCAAGAATATCCTACCTCTCCATTATTGTGTTTCTAGTTCCTGCAAAATCCATAAAGGCAGAGCATATGAAAGCTAAGAATACTTTGAGAGAAAATCACAATAAAATAGAGGTTTATAAAAGGAAAGGTTGCAAAAACTTTTCTGTATTCACTACATAGCAAAATATTCTCCAGAATGAACTGAATAAACACTGGTGTTGACAGCTAAACCATTAGGTAGTTTTGAAATAATTTGGTCTTTTCATAACCTACAGCACACCACCTACTATGTCCAATTACTCTAAAACTTCAATTCAGTCTTCATATCTGTCTGTTGCCTGAGCTATAGCATTAAACTCCCATGGTGATTTTGCAGCTCATGGCTGCCAAGTTTCATGGGGCATCAGATGATAAGTTCTGGGGTATCAGCTCTATTTGCTGCAGTTAAAGGAGTTAAAATAAAAAAAACCTGCTTTTATTGGCTTGGTGAATTTAGGGTGATTTTTTTGCTGCTCAGTGTTTTCTAATTTGAAATAACTTTAGTAAATAAAGAAAACAATGAAAAAAAAATTCAAAACTTTTCAAACTGTTATGGCTATCACTAGGCACCTATGTATATTCTGCCAGATATTCTAAAGCACTTAGTACATCCTGCTTCCCTTGGAGGCAATGACATCTTAAAAGCCAGACTACTGCAATCAAGCTGCCTACTTGAGCTTATATAAGGAAATAAGGAATGTTCTTTCACAGCAGACACCATCCTCTGGCAAGGACGCTTAGGACAGCAGACAAAAAGAGGGTGCTCAAAAAGGAATGAGCTCCTCTGCTTCTGGAATTCAGTGGTTTGAAAGCATCCAAACTGTTACATTTCATGGCCCCCACTAGACCTAACTCTGATTAATTTGTGCTTTTGAACCTGTTTATGTTTCTACATTGTAAAACATTTATGTGTCTGTGAACGCAGATTATGCATGTTGTATTTAAAAATAATTCTATTTCTTTTATGCCTGCTGCCTGGTAATTTAATTGGGTGGCTTCTAGTTCTTGTTTTGTGAAAAAGAGTTAATAGTCCATTTTCTACCTACCTGTCTTCTCAACTGTGTTTCTACTTACAATTCACGATTTATAGAACATTATCTTTTTTACATGTCCAGATTTCAAGTTCTAAGCCATATTTTTGTTGCCATGGCCCTTTTTTGTGTGTGTGTGAATATAGCCAAAATTTATACCTGTTTAGGGAATAGGATGAGGCAGAGGGGTGATACTAGTATTTACTGTTGGTATATCACTGTTTCTTTGCTAGCTCACAAGTGGTATGACAAGCAGTACGTGGTGTTAACTGAGCTCATTTAGCATTGATTATGCTGGAAATCTGAGCAGAAATTCAGTATGAAATGGATCTTTTCTTCACCCCAGTTAAACTGCTATAAGGAATGGACTATGACAGATCATGGGAGACGTGTAGCAGATTTCTTTGATTCTTTTAAAAGTTTCAGCTTTAACTGTGAATATTCTGAGGATCATTCAGGATACTAAAAGTGTTTTTAGAAAGTATTTTTAATTCTTAAGTTTAATATGCTGGAAGAACATATTATATTTTCCAGTGCCAGCAAGGCATTGATATGGATGTTTGTAGTTAATCTGGTGCCTCCCAAAGCTCACCTTTGAATTAACATGGTTTGCTTTTTGTTTGTTTTTTTGTCTTTTTTTTTTTAACTAGGCGAAGCAACGGTGAAGAAGAAACCAGCTCCAAAGACTCCTCCAAAAGCAGGTAGTTTGTTGCACGTCACCCACATTTCCAAGTACAGCTGTTCACCTAATAAACTTGTTTGTATATGTGATTAAATGGTGGGTAAGTCCCTTTTCAGAGTTGTTAATGAGGTTACACTGTACTAAGAATCAAATTATGAGCATCCAAAGAAGTTACTATCAGATAAACTATAGCAAGGTCTGTCTGAGACAGGGTCCTACAAAATACTAGGAGCAGTGTGTTGCTCGTGCCCTTCTATATATCCACAACATACCCTGGCCTTCTGTGAAAAGAGACTTTTCTGTGTATCACAGAATGCCACCTCTGCATGAGTAGCTACCACAGATAAGGTGATAGATTCTACTTTTCCTCATCACTGGCATTATGTGTTCATGTGTTTGCAGTCTCCTAGGCAAAGCTATCTATATTAAAAGTTACATGGAAAGTTCCTCTATAGGAACCTGCTTTCAGTGTCTTAAAACTTTGTCAGACTTTTAAACTGTTCAAGCTGTTTTGTACACCAGATATGTGCCTCAGCCCAGTTTCCTTCAGATTTTTTAAAAAAGACTTTTCAAAGAAAAAGCCTAGAGGATCGAGGGGAAGGCCTCTTTTTTTAATTACATTGAAAAGGAAAAGAAAGCACTTTTTTCATGCCCAGTAGCCCTGTGCTTTGGAAAGGAATGTTATATTTGGCAGTGAGGTCATTCTAATATTAGGGAGTGCCTCTTACCATTTCTGTCAATAGGTCCTCAAGTCTGCCCCCTTCCCCTCCAATACACACACACACAAGAATATTTTTTTATTGTGCTGCTTTTATAAAGCAACAGTACAGATTTCACCCTGGAGTTGTCTGGCCTATGATATTTCTGGCATCTGACCCCAACAGCTACCGGGGTCTGACACACTCAGTATCACAACTGAGAGACAAGGGTGTAGCACTATTAGCAGAAGAGATGTTCTGCCATCTATTGATACTCAGGCAGTGAGAGGGAAGAGGAGGAGGAATGTCTGATTCAGGAACAGAGAAATATGAATGGGACAGCAAGGTTTAAAAGAAGCACTGCAATACTCAAACAAAATGATTCATCACTGCTCACCGGAAAATTTAGTGTGATGGATAAAGACACCGAATTCCTTCCTTGTCTCTCATGATGTTTATCTGGCTACTGAAGCCATAATCTTCGTAGGTCTTGAATCTTAAATTTTTCTGAGTGCTGCTGATGACATCAGGGAGCAGGTTTGCAGACCCCCTCCACATATGGAGATTGATAAGAAGTTATCTGGAGCCATTCTTCAAAGATACAAAGTGCAAAAGAAAAAAAAAAAAGTTTTTCTGAAAAAAAACCCACAACAAAAAAATTTCATAAGCTGTCTATTTGGAACTAGTGGTAGGTCTAAATGTTTTTGTCCTTTGGATGTCTGTACCTTGGTTTTGCATGAGCAAACTTCAGATGGATAGATTGTTATTGCTTCACTCCACTAGAATTAACAATGTCCACAGAATTGTTTCATTGCAAACAACATGTAACTGTTAATCTGGATTTCAAATGCTGCTCTGAAACTGTTGAGCTGAGACATGTATGTGTTTTGAATTTTTTTAAAAAATTAAAGTATAGAAACCTAAAGAGAGATTTTATTTATTTTATTTTTCCCATCAGCTGCTCCTCCTCAGATTACTCAGTTCCCAGAAGACAGAAAAGTCCGTGCAGGTGAATCAGTGGAACTGTTTGCCAAGGTGGTAGGAACAGCACCCATAACTTGCACCTGGATGAAATTTCGTAAGGAGGTAAATTGTTTTTTGGTCTACTTTAACAATCATTGAAAAAGTAGAGCTGGAAAGGAGCACCAATGACCATTTCCCATTTGTCCATCTCCCTTACTGAGGAACATGTCACTCCTGACAGATGTTTTCCTCCTGTCTGCTGAAAAAGTTCCACTAATGAAGATTTCACAATCTCCATTAGCAAATTATTGCAGTGCTTAAATATCCACAGTGGGAGAATTTTTTTTCCTGATGCCAAACCCAAATTTTTCTTGCTACAGTTTAAACCCTTTTCTGCCTGTATCCTCCTATAACAAATTATCTTTTCTTTGTGAAAAGGCTTAGACCATGTAATTAAAGGATAGGTAATGGAGAATATATAGGTATCTGAAAAGTATCTGTCACAGGAGATACTTCTGTTCTTCAAAAAATGACTTCTTCATTGATACTGAGCCTAAAATTATGTCAGAGGGGCAAAATGCCATATAAAAAGCTTGAGTGAATTGCATGACAACACAAATATCACCTTACAAGGCACAACAGCAATCCATGGCATGAGTGCCCTCACACTCTGGGTTTAAAGTTCCTTCTAATTGAATTAATATACTTAAACTATAATACATGTGTCCATAAGGGCAGCTCCTGAAGCAAGTTGCTATAATGAAGCAACTTAGAATCAAACCACTTTAAATTAAATAACCCAATATGCAAGTTCAAACTGGAAGATGAAGTGTCATGTTAGGACAGAGCAAGTATAAATATGTACTGGAGCTGCTATTCTGTTTACTTTATTCTGAACTTGTTATGCACTCTATAGAGCATAAATAAAAACATCTCCTCCTAGAAGGAAGTTTAGACTTTAAATCCAGATGTGTCAGCATTTAATTGAAAGAATTCAAAACAGTTTGCTAGTGCAAAGGGTATTCCAGAGTCCATCCTTCCTAACTCCAAATAACCTCTTACTTTAGGGAAAAGGGTGGGTTTTTTTTCCTGAACTCCTATATTTTCTTAAAATTCTTTAGCTTCAAGACTACTACTATTCAAGACTATTAGTTCTTCTGTAGTTAACTACTTCTTTCCACAAAAAATAGGTCTCAGAAGCTCCAGTGACATTCAGTGTACGGTTTTGCTAAACGCTATCTTAACATTTAGGTAAAATGTACCCTCAAAAATAAGTTTCTGGTTTGTGCGGAATTTTGAGTTAATTTTTGAATACAATAATCTTATTTACATAGATTTGAAGGCCTTTTTTATATACAAGAGCTATATGATAACAGAGACTAGCAGCTCCTATTGCCCATATTAGATCCATAATCTGTGATTCGACATACTTTTTCCTTTTTAAAATTCTATTTTTACCATCTTCATACTTTCTTTTTAGTTATTCACTATGAGACAAAGTATTGCAAAAACATACATTAAAATTACATAAAAATTTTTATATGGTTCATTATGGCAAATGAGATAGAAAAGGAAAAAAAGTTCAGGAATGCTACTAAAAACTGTAGGAGGACAAGTGAGGGCAGCAGTCTCTCATGTATTACTTTAAATGGGGAGCCAGTTACTATGTCCTGTGCTGCACCATTATTTTGCTTTATTTTTCTCTTATACTTCACCACATATTGTTTTAGGCTTCGATTTCTTCCTCTTCTATAAATGTGGTTGATTTCAGCTCTGTTCCATTCCCAATCCTAAAAGTGAAAATCAGCCAAGTGTTTTAACAATTTGCTGGGGGTTATTCATACTCATTATTTGAGCAGACCCAGGAGGAGGTGAGTTGTGATTTCAGCCCTTCCACTGTTTGCTGCAGTGTGCCAAGGAACTTGTCCTCTCCACATTCCTTCCTCATATTCCCTCAGGTGCAAGAGAATCACTCACAGGTATATTCCAGGCAAATACCTTTCGCTTGAAGAAAGGGAATGTCACAAATTTGTGACCCATGCTGTTGTACGTGGTAGCAGTGTAGTGGAGGGATGCTGGAACTGTGCTCAGCTGAAGAGGGGAAAGCCTTTCAAAGCCAGGGAACACAGGGATCCAGCTTCATGTTCCCCATAACCGATGCAAACCGCTGAGCATCCTTTCAGGGCTTTCTCTAAATAACACAGATCTAGTTCTACTATTACCCTTTGGTTGATTCTAATGAAGCAAAATATAAGGAGTTTAGAATCTCACAAGTATGGGGGCAGAGCAGAGCAACTTTCAGTATAATTTAAACTTTAATGCTACATAATCCCGTTTGTTAATTTTCTGTCTGAGTTATTGTAGGAGAATCTTTCTCAGGTTACTTTTGGGCATATGGCAGGGCATGTGTAGTATCTCAGTTGAGGAAAGAGCAGGGAAAGTCCTGCTCTTAAACTTTTAATTTCTGTTCTCTGGATATATGAGACAAGATAAGGCAAACTAAATAGTCTTCATTTTTAATGAAATTCTGAGAATGACTTGGAAGAGTCACTTATCTAAGAAGGAAGTGGTGGGAGGAAGAAGGGCATTGACATTATGTTGTCTCTTTCATAAGAACACAGTGTACAGCTTCTCTAATTGCAGTGTAGCATTATGAGCTTTTTAAATAATCTGTCATGTCTCAAGCTAATACTGATTAAAATCTAAGTCACCTTGGCCATTTATGCTATGATAGCTCTGTTTCAATTAAAAACTAGTTCATAATATGCCCATGGTATTCAGCAGAGATTTTGATTTTCGCTTCTGCAGAAAATAAAAGTGCTACAGGGAAGCTCATTCTGCTCTTTGAATGTCTCTCTGCACAGCTGTAGCATTACATCTCCATTTCAGTCAACGTCATCTTTAATTGTTCAAACACAAGAAACTGTGCTCTGGTTTATGTGGAAGTACAGAATAAGGCTGGTTAAGACAAGAGGGTAAAAGTCACAGCCATGGATGATTTGCACGTTCGGCCTCTGTAGTGGAATGGCAAATGCACTAGGGCTAAACCATTGGTCCACTGTGGTTTCTGTGAGATACGTGAGACCAAACTTTGCTCTTTTGACAATTACACAGTTTCCACTTTCAGCTTGTCAAAGAGAAGTTAGAAAAGTGAAACTCCTGGTCTTTAGTGGGGTTCCAGTAACAACAATGCTCCCTGTTGCCTTTGCAGGACTGGAGTCATTATAATGTTCCACTGCATTTCTAGATGCTTTGTGTTGACTGCATGGTTTAGCAGCTGCACTTTTTCACTTCTGTGATAAAGTTATCTGCAGATAATGTTAAATATGATAATATTTTGAGCTCTTTCAGATATGAAGAAATTTATAACTTTTTTTTTATTTGGCAGATTAAAGAAAATGAATATATTAAAATTGAGAATGATGAAAACAGCAGCAAGCTAACAATATCATCGACAAAGCAGGAACACTGTGGATGTTACACCCTAGTTGTAGAGAACAAACTTGGCAGTAGACAAGCACAAGTCAACCTTACAGTTGTTGGTAAGTCCATGATGTTTTATATATATACTCATTCTTCAGACATCACTCTGCATTTGAATTGCATAGAAAGATACACAACAAATTAAATAAAATAATCAGATAAGTTAAAAACACTAAAATAAAAAGCTAGTACTTCAAAAAATATCAGGACTGGGCAGTGACATTGTAATAAGGACTATAAGCAAGTTCATTAGGGCTATACTGTGTTTATTTTGAAAAATTTCCAATTCCAGATGAAGATATAAATAGCTCAGACTTAAAAAAAATAAAAATCCACCCACAAGATAAAAACAGCTCCTGTCTCCATTTTTTGTTAGATACCACTTGTTTTTCCCATTTAATGCTTGCAGCATCCAGATGTTTGCTGAACTGCCAATTTTAAAACTCTTAGTTCAGGAAGGATTGAGGTAGTTTCTAAAAGTCTGTGCAACTGAAAACATCCTGTTGCTTGGGGGAGAGAGATTTTGTCCTTTTAATTTAAATTCCTACAATTGTCTGCTGTTTTACAGTGACAGAAAGCAGGGAACAGAGGCGCTCTGGTTGGAATATGAAGCTCTTCATATGTAGGGGCTTTATATTTTTTCCACATGTGACTTAAACCTTCCAATAGCTTTGTCAGATGACCCTTCCAGGCTATCAGGTTTGTTGCAGCAGGCTGTGGACAGCTGCAGATAGTTGTAGTCTGCAGTATGTTTGCAGATAAACCTGCAGCCTGGTTCTAGACCAGCTAGCTGGAGTATCAGCCAAAATCTAGAGCTGTGACATCTAGGTCTGAAAGGGCTAATGAACCCACCTTGGTGTGGCTGCACAGCAAAGAGTTTCCAGGGAAATCTAGGGATTTCTACAAGCAAAGATGGCAATTGGTGTAAAATATTGATCTGGGTCTGTCTCTGGGTTCTGTTATCTGTGGCCTGCAGGGGGTTTATGACATAAGGTGGGGCAGAGCTCCCCCAGGTAGTTGGATGAATTATAGTTCCACCAGCAAGGCTGCATCCCAGTCACCACTTGTAACTGCATTGGCTCTGCTGTGCTGGCAGCCATGGGGACTGTGAGCAGGGGAAGAAACACGGGTATAAGGCCAAAGACGAGTACTTGACTCCAATGAAATCAATGGCAAGATGCGTTTAACCCAAGTTGAACTGGAAGTTCATTCCAGAAATCCAGTAAATAACATATGAACTTTAACAGTAGAATCACACTTTCAAGTACAATATCCACTGCCACAGAGTGAATGTCCCTTGGTTGCACACTGCTCTACATATTGTTAATAAAGGTCTCCTGATTGTTTAAATTAATTTCTTTCATCCAGTCTGTGGCTTAAAAGATAACTGAATGAATGAGTATAAATATCAAGCAGATTCCAGCAACGTGCCAGAGAATTCAGGAATAGAAGAAAATAGAATCAGTAATTTTCACATGATGCACAGATAAATTGTACTACTTCTTCCAACAGTGGGTTGTGCAGGTCAGAAGTATAACTCAGTTAAAAATGAGCACCAGGAAAAATTGGTCCTTGAGTAATCATCATATACATTGTTTTGGGTGCAGCATTTGGCTCCAAAGCCCCAACACAGCTGATTAGCAGCTAGAAGAATGGCAGGAGATTAATTGCTCTTTACATGCCCCTTCTTTTCACTCTTTCCTAGACAACTGCTGCAGGCCGCTGACTATAGTAGGTTATTGGGCAAGATGGATTATTTCAGCTGAACTAGGTCGACAATTCCTGTTATCTTGTCACTGTGTGAGCCTTGACTCACTATTATATAAGTCACTGGTTTATGTCCTTTGGAGTTAATTGGTTGGAAAGTCTTTGAATTCTATAACCTTATAAAGCTACATCTCAGCCTCCTGCTTTGCTCTTCCCTAAGAAATGTGCCAGAGAACAGTGGGATTCCCAGAGATGCTTTTGGGAGAGTTGGGTGAATAATCCTTACAATGTGCAGGAGTTTGCCATGTGTTTTGGCTGATGACAAGCTATCTTTTTCCAACTAAAAAGAATAAATTCTCTCTTGTAAAATTGCCAGCTCTTCAGTGAGACATCTCGCTGATATCAGCACTGCCGAAGGCATGACAAGGCCTCAAGACTCCTAGTTTGTTACACATGCATTTTAAGGCCAGACTTTTCCATCTGAGTACTCAAAAATGTGGGAAAAGGGAGCAAAAATGTCTTCCTTGTAGGAAGTGGGTTCAAATAGCACTACTGAGACAAAATCCTTCACACTGTTTGCACCTTTAAAGGTGTTAAATGTTCATGAACGTTGGAAAGTACTTTTCTCCAAAGCCTGCCAATCAAAATAGGGAAGATATGTTTCTCTGAATGTACAGAACCTGAGATTTCTGACTCTATCAAAGCTCATTCTTAGTCCTAAATTCCTGCCTGTCTGTTCTCTCTGCTCCATCCAAAGTACTGGGAAGAAACTTGCCCTCCCTGCTCTGACTCTGCATTCGCAACAAGCATTTGTGGAGAAAGTCCTGGTGCTAGAGATCAGCTCTGTCTGCCTTAGCTATTTATAATAAGGCTCTAAACTCTGTGTGAGCTGCCTCCCTGTAAGTTTAGCGGTAAAAGGCACATCTATATGTATGCTGAGTGCTCAAAATGCTGCTGCCTGACCAAAGTCCACAACTGAGTCTTGAATGTATTGAGGGAAAGTACAAATACAGAACATCTGCTTTCTGGAGGAGTGTGTCTGAGCTGACCCAGTCCTGTGTTTCTCGAAGAGCTAGCTAATGGGCTTGGCTGTTCTGAAGTTTGGCAAATCAAAGACATTTGTTAAAATATAAAATGAAATAAATATGTTAATGAAGAAGTATTTCTTTTATTATTACCTCTTACAACTTGCAAAGCCTTCATGCTGATGGGCAAGCTTCTCATGTGAAAGACTCCAATAAGCATTTCTCAAATTAAATTTGGACTGTAACACATACCAGGGAACAGGTTGCCCAGAAAAGTTGTGCAGTCTCCATCCCTGGAGGTATTCAAGTTCAGACTGGATAAGCATCTGAACAATCTGATCTGACCTTATAGCTGATCCTGCTTTGAGCAGAAGGTCTAAAGACTTTCCTGAGGATGTTTAAGAACATCCTGGATCTTGCTTTTATACTTGCAGTTGTCAAACACCTTTCTTCACAAAAAAACCCATTAAATAACGTTATTGACTTAACCTCCAACCACGAGACAAAGGATTGAGCTTATTTGCCAGGATTCAAATCAGAAATGATCCTGCTATGATTTAAACCCTGAGTCCTAGATTGTAAACTCTATCTGGGTAAAATTTTTATAAATCATTTTTAATAATGACTTTTAGGGAAACAAAGATACTCTGCATTCCTTTGAATTTGGCTCCTAAAGTCTTAAATTTAACTGCTTGCACTGTCAGACTCAGACTTTAGCTACAATCTTAATTGAACTGCACAGGGGTTCTGACACAAAGCATTTGAATAATATATGATTTGATGCGGTTTGGGCCATGGAAAAAGATGCTCTTGAAAGAAACTCAACTTTATTCTAATGATTTTTTTTCCTTTGCAATTTTAACGAGTATCAATGAACAAAGTGTCCATTACACTCAGCCTCCAGTGTGAGCTGTTTGCAGTCCACACACCAAAACCACTGATATGTAGACAAGTTAGAGGAGACTTTTTCACTGATGGTGTGGTGATGAGCACACAGCACTCAGGCACAAGGACTGAGCCTTGAGTTTTACACTGATTCATTGTTTACCTTTGTCTTTATAAGCATTAATAATACTGGGAGACATGCAGTAGAAGTGAGATATTCAAGTTAAGCAACATCTTCTTTTGAAGGATTTGACTAGTCCCAAAATGTGCATGCTGAGCTCTTCTCTATTGTTATGATTAGCTCTCTTAAATAAGCTATTTCCTTGCTGAGTGATCTCTCAAGGGACATTTTGCATCATGTGTCTGTTCCAAAACCAAAATGGTCTGATGTGAGACAGAGCTAATGATTTACAGCAGACACTGTGTCAGATTAAAGTGGACTTGAGTTGCCAAAGCTATTGAATGAGCCATTGATGAGCTTAGTGTAAGATAGGGATGATTTAGGCAAGGAAGAGCTCTCACTCTATAGTGACAGCAAGGAATATTCATTCCTTTCATACTTTTTATTGGATGTATATGGACCTATTAATCAAATTCATGATTCTGAACATTTTAGCTATGTGATAGACCCCAATCTGTAACCACTTGTGAAAAAGGAACTTGGTTTTTATACTGGAGACTATAACAAAGAGACTATAACAAAGAGACTATAACAAGAGACTATACAAGGGCTTTCTGATGATCAGTGTTTCGATATTACTTTGGATATTAGCAATGTCTTTTTCTTTCTTAGATATAGAAGTAGAAACACATGTACTACCTACCTGGAAGCTGATTTTGATCAACCTTGTTTGTCTAAATCCCTTAGATTTGTATTGTTCCTGGTGTGGTATTGTGTGGTGTGTGTGTGTGTGTGTGTATATATATATATATATATATGAAAGTGGGGGCCTCTGGTGGTCTAGTGGTTAGGGTGCAGGACTCTCACCGCTGCGACCCGGGTTCGATTCCCAGCCCCCCGGGCAGATGGAGCTCGTCAGCCCTGTAAGGCAATCCATCTAAGAGAAGGTCACTCTAAACAAACCTACGTTCTGAGACCCTCACTGCCACTGTCCGAGTTTCACTCGGCCCCGGCAGATGAACCTCAGGATTAAAGGGTGGGCTCAGTTCAGCGCACGCTGGGTCTCACCTAAAAAAATCCACTGCGCAGGCTCGAAGGGTTAATGACCTTTCCCAAATCTTCGCTCGCGAAGACTGGCCACTATATTATATATGAAAGTATCATGGTGATTAGTAAGCTATATGGTAGATATATGCAAAAAAGGAGAGCAATGTCATTAGACCCCAAGAGGCCTAAAGTTAATAGTTATGAGTTTTTATTACTCTAAGCATTGGTGTACATACTGTGTTTTGCATCTTTATGCACTGTTGGAAAGTGATAA